ATATATATATTTCCCTTCTCTTTTTTTCTTTCTCTTTTTAAATTGAATGTTGATAGTTACCAAACCTCTCCTATTTTATATACATATACAATGCAGTCGGTTTGGCCAACTGCAATCTTTGTAGACTCTGGGGAGAAGGCTATTCCCTTTATCATATAACTCTTTTTGCCAAACTATGAATGAAAAAAGATGTTGCTTATTATAGTATTAGTAGTATTATTAATTTTATAAAACAGAAATATTAAGAAATTCTGAAGTGATGTATAAGTATATTTATACATATATACACATATATATATATATTACTTTATAATACATATATATTAATAACATGTACTAAACACTTACATTAATTCAATAAATACCTTGACATCAACAGGTTTAGTTGAAAACTTGTCGCGTTTGACGCCGTTCTCATCAAAGAGATAAATGAAACGATCCGAAGATGCTACAGCTAGCTTCAAATTGTTTGGCGACCATGCTATGTCAACTACTTTATTTTCAAGCTCCTACAACATATTATGAAATATAATTATGGAATGCCGGAAAAATTCTCTATTTCCAAGTTTTCGAGTAAATATATTATATATATTTATTATGTGTGATATTTTGGAGGGGCTTACACACACTTGATACATAAGTAAAAGTTCTAAAAATATTTGCAAATATATACACGAGAAGATCATGTAGATATCAATTTTCTGCAAAATCTTGAAATTTAATAAATTTATTTCGCTTTAAGATATATAAATATAATTGTGCGTTGTACTGACCTCCGCAGGCATAACGGTACCGAGATACTTGAGCAACATATCGATTTAATTGCACAATATTATCTTTATCCTATTAAAAAGATATTCTAATATTATTTACAAATGTATATTAGAGTATACAGTATACAGTACCAATAGAAGGCAAGTGTCAATTGCGCGCCATGTGTACACATTAGTCGCCTAGCAACAGAACCATAGACATATAGACATATAGATATAGACTATATGTCAAGGTCTACGCTATCAATGAAATCAATGTTTTTGACTATGATATTATAATAGTATCAGCCAATCAGCGAATCTTTGACAAAGATAGCGATCCATTTCCTTTTCTACTGTTTTCTACGAATTGGATCATTCCCCACCCTTAAAAGTTCGTTTCATGCATATAGGGTGCGTTCAAAAACATCACTTTTAATAAATGACAGATAGAATGACGCTCGTGTGCACACGGTGATGTTTCCGAACGCAGCCATAGAGTATAGAGTAGAGCGCACCTGTCACCTGTCAGCCTGTCAGCCTGTCAGCCATGACACTGTATGTATGTATCCTTTACCACGTGGTTTGGCGGTTTACGCGATTTTATCTCAATATATATATATAAAAGAGGACGAAATCTAAAAAAATAATAAAACGGAAGTGCCTCCACCTCTACCCTCTACTTCTACCACATTCCAGAGATGAACACACGTGCCGTAAAAAGAAATGAGGACAATGAGGATGAGGTTAGATAAGTCGCTTCGCATTTCCTTTCCTTCGTAGTCTACATATAACTTTATAATTCTTTCGCAAATACGCGGAGTTAAATATGATTTATTTATCGAAAATGATCGAAAGTTGGAAGTCCAGAAGGTGCGTCGATGATTGACTCCACAATGTATGGATGCATAAACGAAACATTCTTGTTCGATATTTTTTCAAATTTGAAATCGGATCGTTTATATATTTTTATATAATTGCGAGATATTGGATCTGTTCTTTATAGCTGAATTGGCTGCACTAGTCAGAGTTTATCTTTCTCCTTCCAATGTGGAGAGAAAGAGATGAACTTTGAACTAGTGCCACTAGCCACTAGTGCAGCCAGTTCAGCTATAAAGAACCTAGTGTGTGACTTTCACTCAAGAATTTCTTTTCTCTATCAAGATGTGAGAATGATATTTTAATTCAGATACATATGTATTTTTGCGCTATGAAATTTTCTAGATATGACATTGGAACGAATGTTAAAAAATAGTTTAATGTGTAGTATAATTGTTTGGGTGTGTTTTTTCAATAAAAAAAAGTCTAAAGCACAATGTAATATATATCATATATAATATTTTATTATATATATCTAGAAAAATTTTGACAATTCTGGCTGTGTAATATTTATTTATATTTAGCATTCATGTCTTTATATTCTATTAATTCAATTCTCTCTAAAACTGATTATTATTGTTTTTTTATTCGTTTGCAGCAGAGATTTGCAGATGCGAATGACATACTATGTCATTCGATAAAACATCACATTGATAAAACATGTGAAAAATATCCTCCAATTGTCTTCAAGGGTTGTATTGAATATGCTACTGAATTTGTCGATTGTGCTTTTATCTGCAATAATCTCATGTGAGTGTGAACAAATGTAGGACATTTTTAGAAAGAAAAATATGTAGGTAATATATTTTTTTCAACATTCAAAAAAAATTTTTTTTTTAATGTTTGATGGAGAAATGTGGCAAGAAGAGATTCTTTCATTTAACATTAAATGAAACAAGTATTGTGGTAAAAATGTGCTTTTAATAAAGATTATTTTTTCTCGAGACTTGAAAGTTGTTCACATTTTTTTAAATAAAATAATGTAGCTGACAGAAAAAAAGCGATAGTTCAATCTTGTATCGTGTTAAATTGCAAAAAACAAAATGTATTTATTTGAGAATAACAAGATCTAACCTTATATGTTTTAGTATCAAAAGCTCTAAATAAGCTTGATAAAAATTACTTTCTTTTACCATAATATTTTTTCCATTGAATCAGATCTATCTCTTATGTATTTTTCTATATCATCAAAATAACATATTTTTTTTTTGTGCTGAAGTGTTAAGTAAAATATTTCCTGTAAAGTTAAGAAGAAAAATCTATGATATATAGTATAAATGAGGACCACAAATAGAAATGAGATAGGGGATAAGAGAGGGAGTGAGAGAGAAACCATGATAAAAAAATAAAAATTTAAATATATAAAAATTCTGATGTACATTTGTATTTTTTCTAGAGAAGAAATAAATCGCAGTGAGGAGAAGGTTATACCGCTAGGTTTCGATCTAGAGTGGCCTTTCAATTTCCAAACTGGCAGTGGAAAGACAGCTCTGGTGCAAATTTGTCTAGATGTCGATGTGTGTTACCTTTTACATATTTATTCCCTGAACAAACTACCGGCAGCCTTCATCGAACTTCTGTGCCATTCAAAAGTCATACTTGTTGGTGTTAATATTAAAAAGTCAGTAATTATTACATAACATAAAAATTTTTTTTTTAGAAAATAGTTTTATTTGAGAAATATAATTAGTTATTTTTGACAGTGATGAAAAAGATTACGATGAAAACTGATATGATTTTAATGTGTGATTTAGGGGTCAAAGATTAAACTCATCTGATTGATTTCTTCTCTTCAAACCGTGCAATTTTTATATGAAATATTTTTTCCAAAACGTGCAATCTGAGATATATCATTACATTATTTAAAATAAGACTCCTTAGAGCTAAAATTAAATGCTATCACATTTTTGTATGATTTTTCTCACATACAATCATAAGTTTGTTATTTTACAGCGATCTGCGGAAACTTGAAAGAGATTTTAAAGAGTTCCCTGCTCAGAAAGTAGTGGAAAACAATTGTTTGGACTGCGGGCCGTTTGCTAATCAACGCTTAAACCGATCTGGTCGTTGGAGTTTGGAAAGATTAACTGCTTTAGTGGTATTCTTTTTTTATTATTTCGTATTATTTTACTACAACTCGATAAGTAAAATTAGAATTGGCAGAAATGTTTTTATGTATATTTAGCTAAAAAAAAAAATTAGTAAGAATCCTGAGGTACGAAGGAGCAAGTGGCATGTGCAACCCCTCAGCGACGCCCAGAAGATTTACGCAGCCACTGATGCTTACGTATGTATAAATAAATCAAATCGCTACAATAAAAAGCATCAAAAATAATATTAAGTTGAAATTAAAAAACTTAAACATTAAAATGATAGCATTTTAAAATAAAAGTAATAATATTAGAATTATACGATGAACTTATAATTTGGAAATTGACAAAAAAAATACTGAGGATTCAATAGCTAAAAAGCCTGAAACATTTCTTTCAAAATAATCATTCTTTTGCACACAGGTATCTCTTCTAATTTATAGAGAACTTCACAACCCGGATTTACTTAAATAAACCAACCAAGACGAGATTGCAATCAAACGAGGCTGGTAATGATATGAATTGATAATTAAATCCTAACGAAGTTTCTCAGTTTTAAAGATTAGCTAACTCAACGTCACAGAATCCTGGGGATGAATCCACGGGTAAAAGTTCTGCTAGCCGGTCGCTTGTCGTACAGTGTCGGTCTACATTTACAGAAGATTTTGTCGGATCATCATCACAAGTGTTTAACTGAATCAGCGAATACATTAGTGCTCCTAGAGCACGAACCGGTGTACACAGTGGGAATACGGAACGGGATATACACGGAGGCAGACGAAAAAAAGTTGAGGAGCCTCGGCGCGGACTTCTGGAGGACGAATCGTGGCGGACTGATCACCTTTCACGGACCCGGTCAATTGATAGCCTATCCGGTACTCGATCTAAAACAGTTTCGTACAAGTGTCAGGTGGTATGTGAGTCAGGTCGAACGTACGGTAATACACGTATGCGCCGAGCTCGGCATTAAGGCCGTGACCTCGCCGCACACCGGGGTTTGGGTCGGCGATCGCAAAATCTGTGCCATAGGTGTCCACGGCAGCCGTTATGTCACCACCCATGGCCTCGCGCTTAACTGCAACATTGACCTCGGGTGGTTCGAGCACATCGTACCATGCGGCATCGAGGACAAGGGTGTAACTAGTATCTCCGAGGAGCTAGATACGGACGTAACAATCGCCGACGTGATACCGATCTTTCGAAGCGCCTTCCGTGATCATTTTGAATGCGAGCTAATCGATTATCCGTCCGACGAGGCTTCGCAGCTATTGCGAGACGCGCATGCTGACGTTTTAAGAATATGATATGAGAATAATTAATTATTGAATATTTTTAGAAATAAAGAGACTTGTAAGTTTTTTAAATAAAGTTTTCAATTTTAGCGCTGCTCATTCTTGATCCTGTTAAAATCCTTTCTCTTTTTCATCTCTAAATTCTTCGAATTTATAAATATTTAAATGAACTTTTATATGCAACATATCTTGAGTAAATCAGTCCGTATCGTGATTAAACATTCAAATTTGATTCTTAAAAATGCTGAATCGTGATTAGTTGATTGTTTTAATTTCAATTGTCCTATATAAGGTAGTCTTGTTAGATTATTGAAAAAAATTTTAAACTTTAATGAAGTAATATTAAGATTTAGTTAGTTCTTTATTAATGTCGCTAAATTATAACGTTAGTAAAAGCGAAAAACCAAACGAATTCTTAAATTCTTTTTGCATGTTTAATTCATTCGATTTTCGCAAATTGATAAATAGCTGTACAACTTCGCGAATTATCTTAAAGTCCATCTTCGCTGGAAATATAGGACACATGCAGCTTTTGTGTGTGCGTACGTATATATTCGTTTATTATAACATTAGTAATAAAAAAAGTAAATCTTTGTAAATCTTACGACAGTAATTTAGAAGCATCCTGTACTAACGCGAGTGATGATCCTATACTGATAATTATATCATAGCCATCTTCTATGATATAAAGATTTCGTTTGAGGAATTCATTCAGTTAATCGTTTCAATCGATTGACAACTGCTATTCTTGAATGATCGGTTTCGTACGATTTAAAATATCGACCGTGAAAATTTATTAATCGCATTTCACAAGTTAATTGTGCCATCGGAATTCTAACACAATGTGCAAATATAAATCAAATATTTCGTCAATGTGTAACATACAATGCTGTGTTCCGATTCCCCACCCGGGCGCACCCGAAATTATAATATATGTCACGTATACTATAATATCGGGTGCGCTCGGGTGGGGAATCGGAACACAGGGCAAGATGTAAACAGGTAAGAAAGCATTCGCAACGCGAGTTGAATGCGTAACAAATTTTACGTTACATAAATAACAATTTATCGTTAAATATCATTTTAATAATAAATATCGTTATCGACAATATAAACCAGTGTGCGTTTAAATTGAATGCATCCTAAACTTCACAATGTTTTGAATTAAGAAAAGAAACAGACTTCACGTGACTAGAAGATCGATGCAGATCTAAAAGGTTTAAACAATAAGACTTGTTTTAAGCTTGCAATTATGCAATTCAATTAAAGATTAAGATTGCATTGCAACTATGTACATTAAGAGATCAGGATTCGATTGAATATCAATAAATATCCATAACATTCCGATCACAAAATATATATATATATATATATATATATATAATAAATAATCGTAATGCATTCTGAATCTCTGACTCTGACACAAGCATTCGATTTAAACGCGTCATTATTTGGTGAGATCTACGTAGCGATAGACTTTCGACCTCTTGTCCTGCAAGTTTTCAAGTAATTCGATCATAAAAAGTCTCCCTTGATAAAATATTATTCGATATCTCTCAAATTTATTTTTACGGTCTTGTAAATCTTGAAAGAGCTTTGAAAGTCTTGAAATATTGAAATCAATCGCGAGAAGTCAGAACACTTGAAAATCTTGATAGACTTGATAAAACGGCTCTGAAAACTTTCGTTCGAGAAATTTGTGTCATATAATCACATTGAAGCGATTTGAAAGGTCACATCAGCCCATCGCTAGGTCAGAATATAAAGCTAGTATCACTCTGTCAGCACGTGCAGATATCTTTGATTGTAAAGCTCCGCGGTGAAAGCGCCGATGATTTCGACAGCGTTGTGAAGGGAGTTGGCGGAATCTCTGATGAGTCTGATGGCTCTTTCCACGTCTCCTCGTAGTTCCGCGTACTGTTTGTTCATCAGGAGCCCTTCCAAGTTCTGCATCGCCTTCACGGCCTCCGCGCTAGGTCGGATCTCCATCGTGTCCGGATCGGTCGATCGCGAGGGCGCCACGCCAGGCGAGTGCGGTGTGTATCTCACCAGCTGCTGATCAGATTTGGATTCCGGCAATTGCGCCAGGCAGTAGACGGCCGTGGTGCGGCTGAGAAATTTACATCTATTCGAGAAAATTGAACGGACGATTAAAAGGTTGAACAAAATGTAGGACGCATAACGCGTGTCATGGCTCGTACCGCACGGTGAGCTGAGAACCTTTCCTTAGTCCGATAGCCCCCAGGATACCCCATCCTTGTCCCACATCGTCTGCTATGGTTAGCAACGCCCGTGCCAATCCCTTCAAGGCTCTAGCAGCGATCACCGTGTTCTCGCTGTATTGACACTGCCTATAAGCTAATTCGCACGCCTTCGCCCACAGCAGAGGCTGTTTTTCCTCCACAATGTCTCTGAATAAATAAAAATCAATATTAATGGTAATTTCTTTCTAGGATTTTCTAGGAATAGAAATTGAAGAAATTATAATAAAACGATCTTAAATGCACGTAAAAATATTTTTTCGTCGTATCTAGTTAATTCTGTATATTCTTCGCGGTATGACTTACGTGGTTTTAACAGCGGTGATCCAGTCTACTAAGTTGATCAGCAGCATGCCTTCCTCCCGGATGTCTCTACAGGACGGAAGTCTCTTTAGCAACACAGAGTAAAGGGCCAACAACCTCCCCTCAGACACCAGTACCGATTCTAGTGGCGGTTGTCGGGGTACCACGGACTGCAAGACCGTCAGCACTGACGCCCACGTAGGCCGAATATCTTCCGTTACTAAAATAGAAGCGTCATCAATAAGTTCGAAACAAAATCTGAAGCATAAAATGAGAAACATGTTATATGAAAGTAATCGATCAGTTATTTACCGTTGTATTTAAAGTAAGCCTCCAACGCGGCTTCCATAAGATGGCCCAGAGTGGACGAGGAAGCGACTGCCATTCCGATAACTCTTAACACGCCCATCAGCACCGGACTACTAGCTGTTCGCTCCAGCAGCCACGCCGTCCAACTGCTACGAAGATGATCGACCAACACTCCGCTTTGATTGATCGAATGCAAGAACTCGGTGATCAGCAGGCCGGCCTCGGCAACCTGTTGCGACTCGGAGACGGCTAAAAAGAATAAGAAAAGTCAGGAAAAAGAAATTACATCAATTACTTTTAGATTTTAACTTTTGATTTTTTTCGATTTCAAAACTGTAAATCAGTCATTCTTGAAATCTCTATTTAGATATTTACTGCTGGTGATGACGATCTCCATATCGTCGAGCATCCGCGACAACGTATTGGTAAATACTTTGCTATTGGTCGAGAGAAGAGACTTATGTCTTGTGGTACAGTTGATCAGCAATTTCACCATGGAACGTACGTACATTTGTCGCTTCTTCAAGGTGGTAGGATGAAAGTGTTTCACTGTAGGATCGTAGGCCGCCGCTATTTTCATTAAGCTATATATATCAAATAATTTTTAATCCATGTTGTATTATTTATTACGCATATAAAGTGAATATACACTACGTATCAGACTCACTTGTTAACGGCTACGTCGATAGCGTGAGTCTGGTCCTTGCCCAGACACAAAATCACCCTGGGATCGCAGCTCATCACGTGCCAATTGATCACTTGATCATATGCCGCGGCGTCGATTAAGTGCCATGAGAAGCCTTCGGCTTCTGTAACCAACTGCACCGCTTTCTCATTCTGAAATATTAATCAGTATCGTTAAAGCTAATTTTTCTTCGATAATCATTGCGGTGAGTTCATATTTTTTGAATTTTTACTCCTTGCATTTTTAAAGATTAGATCTTTCTCTACCTTTCAGGATTTAATTTCTTATTTCTCGAATTTTATCTCTTATTCTCTTTGCTCTTACCTGTCTGACGTTGGGCTCGTTCGACAGCTTCACCAGCAAGTTAAGCAAACAGATGTGCATCCTGGCAGCAACCGGCAGCGGTTGCGTGATTATCAACTCACCGATCCACGCTGACCAATTAATCCAGGTGAAGACGCTTCCGAGGAACAAGTGGCAGTCCGGTAGATACTGATCAATGACCTTGATCATTAACTCGATGTCGTTGATAGCGGGACAAAAGCGATCCCACGGAAGGGATAGGAAGTTTCCATGCACCACATTTAGCACGTGATCTTTGACGGATACGTGAGCGTAATTGGATACGTAGAACTGCCACACAAAGCTAAGAATTTTACTCGACGCCGGCATAGTATCGATGATGAAACGGACGCACTCGGCGAACATCGCCATCGTCCGATTCGCGTAAGGACCGTCGGTGATAATCCATGGCAGCAACACCGATCTGTCGTCCGTCAACTGCTGGATCCACGCAGCTGTAGGCTCCCGTAAGTTCCTCGTCCAGTATGGAGTAATCCACGGCGCGTACATCTCGCTTAATACCGGCCAGATCTTTTCGCACACTGAAGAGCGTTGGCGATAGTTTTCTCTTCTTTGTTGTAGATATATAATTTGTATGTTCGGATAGTTATGTAGCAAGATTTCAAGATTCCAAAAATTCATAGTTCTAAAAATACCGACTCACATTGATCTGCAAGCGATCCTCGATCAGCCTGAAGTGTCAACACAACCAAGGCGTGGCCGACCATACCCAGAAATACGGTCAACGGTTCATTATAAATTCTGTACTTCGGATAGAGGCCGTACAATCCGTATTGCAATCTTTCCTTCATGAAATGTCGGCTTAGTAGCACAGCGGTGTCGTGCATCTGTGAAATGGCACGAAAATATCGTCATGATACTATCTAACTCCGATGAAATTTATTATTGCATCTAAAACGAAGCGCGACAAAACTGAATGTTTCTTTTCGTATAAGAATAATTGTTTCGATAATAAAATTGCTTATGGAACCTCTTGACGAGATAACAGCCTTTGTTCCGTGGCATAATGTCTGATTTCGTCTCTGATCTTGGGAGGATATATAGGTGCAATATTTTTCGGCTTGCCGCTAAGGGCTCCCAGCAAATCGCGCCATACATCCAGCGACAGATTCTGGCTCTCGGATCCTCTCAGCACCGCGCTCAACACCTCGCCGTAGTGTTCGGGGAACTCATGTAGAAGAATGAGTCGTAGATGATTCCGAAAGAGCTGCAGCGCGATAATATAATTGAAATTTTGTAATTATTTGTAATTCTTTTCGTTTTTTTTTTCTTGTTAATTAATTGAAATAAGTAGTATAATGAAAATAAAAAGAATTCTCACTTCATGCAGCATCAGCTTTTCTTCTTCGGGATTCAGACCGATGTTGTACAACGCTTTAGAGACTAGATCTATGAAGGTAGATCTTTCGCTTAATCGCGGACGGCGATAATTTAACCAACTGCTGACGTCAAACTATAATAGAAATAATAATCCATTAGACAATGCTTAAACAAGATTAAACAAAGATTAAACAAAGAATAATTTTGACTCTCTCTACCTACTTTTGAGAGCAGCACAAAGCACAAGTCAACGTTCGATCCAGTGGACAAGTCCACGACGGTTTGATACATTTGCAAAAACGTGTTGGCTCCACCAGCGACGGGCGTGAAATGTGGTCCCAATAAGCCCCCGAGATTAGGCCTCTGAATGATTGTGCTCAACAATTGCGGGCCTTGAACTTCTTCACCGCTGATGAATAACTGGAAACAACAGAAGTCTCACTGTACATTTCGAGATTAAAGAATTCTTCTCGATATAGTTATGCTTAGAATCTGTTCTGCGTGAACAAGTTGATATGTAAAATTATGATCTCGAATTGATGAAAATTTTAAATCTGACGCATACCTGACCCAATTTCTCCAAACAAGTGGTAATGAGCTGTTTCGTGGAAGGGCATAATGCCGCTTCCTCCGTGTAGAACTCCACCAAATGATAGAACAGCTTGACTCCGCTCTCTTGCACCTTGCGTAGTATCACAGTGTTTTCGTTAGTTCGACTGATAGTTAATTCGTGCTCCAACATCCTGAAAGGCGAGAGTATATGAGAAAAAAGTAATTGTGCAATTTTCTGCTGCGCTAGCAATAATTTTAATGAATAAAATGACAATTAATTATAACATTAAAATACACATCCTAGAGTTAGTCAATTAAACCGCTTACGCGATCAAATGATCGATGAAGACGCAACCAAGAGTGACCTTGCTGGGTGGCGGTTGACTAGCTTTCACTAAGAGATTTTCGTACTCTGCTCGATTCTGAGTTATCATGTGATCTACACCTTCGCTGACATGAGCTTCTTCAACCTATGCAATTTAAAAAAATTTTGTTTATGAGAAACTTTAAGAATACATCTGATTATTTATTCAGATCAAGAATATTAAGTATCAAAGATTAGCAGATCAAGAATATTAAGTATCAAAGATTAGTAGAGAGATTTATAAATAAATATATATACACTGTGTGTGTGTACAGATAAATATGTAGACATATAAATACATAAGCTATATATAAATTTTTATGGCATTTAATATTTTATTTAATATCTAGATAAATATTCTATTTTTTAATTATAATCTATTTCTTAATTATAAATTATTTTTATTTTCAACTGTACTGTTATCTTAATAATCGCAGGGCCTGCACAGTGTACTGTGGGCGGCGTGCCCGATCTCGAACGTCTCTGACCGGGTGGCGCTGGGTCGCAAAGGGCATGCAAGGTCACATGGTTCTCATAGACCCGGTAGAGAGTCGGGACTAGTTCGAGGAAACTGCAGTCCACCGCGGTGTGTTCGGATATCATGAGGTTGTAAGTTTGCGCATAGTCAAGAATGACTCGGAGATGCGGTTTGACTAGATTGATGACGGCACCGGAGTTGTAGAGACATTCCCTGGCTACGCAGCTCAACACAGACTGATTACGACTCAAGGATGGCGGTGAAAGCGGCGATTCATAGGCATTTAGTCGGCGGAAGATTCTGTGAAGAGGATTAATCGATTCCACAGCGCTCGCCGAAGCGGACTGAGATCTCTGGATTCCTGGTCGATTCTCGGGATCGCGAAATATTGCGCGTTCCCACTCGCTTACGGCCTTCAGCTGGCTTTGCTGCACGGTCCAATAGTCGATATATTCCAGCCAGAGAGTCTGAAAATTGGCGAAGGTAACGAAGCAAAAGTGTATAATAATTTGGATGGGCCTTGAACTTCTTCACCGCTGATGAATAACTGGAAACAACAGAAGTCTCACTGTACATTTCGAGATTAAAGAATTCTTCTCGATATAGTTATGCTTAGAATCTGTTCTGCGTGAACAAGTTGATATGTAAAATTATGATCTCGAATTGATGAAAATTTTAAATCTGACGCATACCTGACCCAATTTCTCCAAACAAGTGGTAATGAGCTGTTTCGTGGAAGGGCATAATGCCGCTTCCTCCGTGTAGAACTCCACCAAATGATAGAACAGCTTGACTCCGCTCTCTTGCACCTTGCGTAGTATCACAGTGTTTTCGTTAGTTCGACTGATAGTTAATTCGTGCTCCAACATCCTGAAAGGCGAGAGTATATGAGAAAAAAGTAATTGTGCAATTTTCTGCTGCGCTAGCAATAATTTTAATGAATAAAATGACAATTAATTATAACATTAAAATACACATCCTAGAGTTAGTCAATTAAACCGCTTACGCGATCAAATGATCGATGAAGACGCAACCAAGAGTGACCTTGCTGGGTGGCGGTTGACTAGCTTTCACTAAGAGATTTTCGTACTCTGCTCGATTCTGAGTTATCATGTGATCTACACCTTCGCTGACATGAGCTTCTTCAACCTATGCAATTTAAAAAAATTTTGTTTATGAGAAACTTTAAGAATACATCTGATTATTTATTCAGATCAAGAATATTAAGTATCAAAGATTAGTAGAGAGATTTATAAATAAATATATATACACTGTGTGTGTGTACAGATAAATATGTAGACATATAAATACATAAGCTATATATAAATTTTTATGGCATTTAATATTTTATTTAATATCTAGATAAATATTCTATTTTTTAATTATAATCTATTTCTTAATTATAAATTATTTTTATTTTCAACTGTACTGTTATCTTAATAATCGCAGGGCCTGCACAGTGTACTGTGGGCGGCGTGCCCGATCTCGAACGTCTCTGACCGGGTGGCGCTGGGTCGCAAAGGGCATGCAAGGTCACATGGTTCTCATAGACCCGGTAGAGAGTCGGGACTAGTTCGAGGAAACTGCAGTCCACCGCGGTGTGTTCGGATATCATGAGGTTGTAAGTTTGCGCATAGTCAAGAATGACTCGGAGATGCGGTTTGACTAGATTGATGACGGCACCGGAGTTGTAGAGACATTCCCTGGCTACGCAGCTCAACACAGACTGATTACGACTCAAGGATGGCGGTGAAAGCGGCGATTCATAGGCATTTAGTCGGCGGAAGATTCTGTGAAGAGGATTAATCGATTCCACAGCGCTCGCCGAAGCGGACTGAGATCTCTGGATTCCTGGTCGATTCTCGGGATCGCGAAATATTGCGCGTTCCCACTCGCTTACGGCCTTCAGCTGGCTTTGCTGCACGGTCCAATAGTCGATATATTCCAGCCAGAGAGTCTGAAAATTGGCGAAGGTAACGAAGCAAAAGTGTATAATAATTTGGATGTCTCTGATGTGTGATTGACTTACTCGGTCTCCTTGCACTAGCAGAATTAGCCTTTGCGACATATATTGCGGTGGCAGAGCTGGGAGGTAAAGTCCTGGTTCCTGAAGACGGGGTTCTTCCAACCAGAGGCTTAGTGTTTTGTAAAACCTGCGATAAATAAAAGCATAAATATATATATAATATATACACTTTTTCAAAGATATCTTCGAGAAAAATATTTCATCTCACTGATATCCAATATGTTCGCTCACTTTGCTGCGCTGAGATAAAATATACGCCGTTCATCCGTGATCGGTTTTCCGTTGTCCGTGTCTTTCTCCCCTTTGACTTGGAAATGTTCTGTCGTTTCGTGCAATCGCTTTTTCAGCTTTTTCAAGTAGCTTAGATTTATCATTCCTTCAAAAAACTTTTCCCCAAACCCACCTTTATCCATAGATCTAGAACAATTTAAAAATAAAGAAATAAATTATACATTTGCTGTGCATGTTTATTATATAAAATTACTGTGCCCGTTTCTTTCTCTTTTTTAAAGAATAAAATAATAGTAATAATCACCCTGATATGATAGGAGCTCGTGCAAGAAATAAACTAAAGAAATTTTGCCATAAAAGAGGCAGGATCGGATGATCTATGGGTGTGTCAAGGGCCTGCTGAGACCAACGGTAAATAGACAGATTGTTTACTCCGAATGGAGTTATCTTCACTGTTGCGCAAGCTCTCTGAAAGGGATTTCGTAACAATTATAATTTTTTATTTACTTGGAACGCATAATCTTGTTCTTAATACAATTGATCTTAAACCTTGAGAGCAGTATCCAGAGATATCTTGGATTGCATAGACAATTCCCGCAAGATCTCCCGCCAAAGTCCGGTCTTAAGTTCCCTATCATACTGCTCCGTCAACAAGATCTGATAAGCGAGCCATATCGTCTGAACAGTTCCACCGAGAAGACTTGCCGAACTGGAGCATCCCGTCGCCCAGCTTAAGAAAGACCCGAACGACCCCGGCGTTCGAGTAGACGGTATATTCTACGAGAATCGCACATTCAAATCGCATGAATAAATGCATACGTTAATTGTTGTAGATATCGCGAGAAGTTTAAAAAAATTACAAATATTACACACATACACACGCACACACACACAATTTTTCTTTATTATCAATAGATATTATATATATTAAATATATTATATATTTATATTGGTAATTTATTTGTGTGGTGTAATATTGGTAATATAAATATAATATATAATTATTTGTGATAAATTTAGATATATATAGAATAAATATTAAAAAAACCTGATTTTGTATGAATTAATTTTTATATATCATACCTCGCTACTTCCATCTAAAGCAGGCTAATAAAATCGATATTTCTTATTAAAAGAATGGAATATTTTATTGCAAAATTACAATATTGTTTGATTTTTGATATAACTATGTACAGAATATATTTGAAATCGTACAAAAGGGTGGCAAATTTTTTCAAAAAAAAAAAATTCATTTTGTTTTTGACTTATTTTTGCATCACATCTTCCCTTAGTTTGTATCACGATTTGGGATACATCTTTTCTATATTATATATGCATTCTTTGCTAATTCTAAAATTACCCTTGCCTCTGTCTCTATGCATATGTGTATGTGAGATACATACAATTATATTACACTTAAATTACTTACGCAGAAAAGATTCTGAAACATGTTCTCCATTGTCGTCCGAGTTTCTAAATAAAAGAACGCCGCGCGGATCACGGTATCCATCAAATACATCACGCTATGATCCTTGTTCCAATCCTGAACAAGTATCAGCACATTCAGCCATAGATTCACGAAACGTTCCGGACTATTTAAGCAATACCTATGATCAACATACGCAAAAAATAATTATTTTCAAGTATCTATACTATATAGATCTATCCCCTTTTATTCCTATTTTATTGACTATTCTATTTCTATATATTATTTATTTCATTTTTTTTATATAATTATATTAACTCATCCGCACGTACCGTTTGAAATGATACAAGTGAGACTCGATCATATTCGAGAACTGTCTGAGGATTGGACCGGGAAATTCTGGGGCAATCAAATTCTTTGCTATCTTCATATACGTCCGATCGGCGGCAACGAGCGGCACAATCAGACTAACGAACTTGTCGTTCTTCAGTAACGAGTCCGGACATTCGAGGAACAATGGTACCACGCGGTGCAAACACACCAGCACTTGCTCATATTTATAGTAGCACTGTAAGGTCTGCAGCTGGCTAAAACCCTCGACGCAAATCAGCGGCACCGAGTGACCCCACAGGGTCATCAGCACGGAGGCGTAGCAGGCGATCGGCTGCTTTTCGCGTACTCCTTTTGCTAAAATTTCTAAGATGGAGTTTGATTCCATATCGGGCACGAAGGCGAGACCCTCGGCCGGGTTCGAAATGGTATTCTGGCACACGGATTCCGATTGGTCCAGTTGATGTAGCCTCAGTCTATTCATCATCTCCCACGCCCACAAGCTGAACGCTTGCTCACTGTTCTGCGGTCTCACTATCGAAGAGACCTGAAACGATATCAAGAACAGACTTGAACTTTTATTCGTTTTAATCTTGATGGATAATCCATCATAATATGACAATCTAGTTCATTCTTAACCTTATAATATTAATTTTCTAATTTTCAAATATCGATAAAACTAATGCTACTGTATTTAAATATTATCATATTTAAATAAGAGTGATTTTTTTATCAGTTTTTTACTTTCATCTCTTCAGTAACCGACGACTCACCTGCTTCACACCTTCAGCTAATAACGAGGCTGTCTGCATTGGGGTGTCGGGCACATACTTCATCATAAGCTCGACAATTAATAACGCTACTTGTCGATGTAGATCAATCGGAAGGTACAAATTGTCATTTCTGCATTAACGGATAATTCAATCATATAAATTGTAATCAATAATTTTGGATTTATAATTATGACAACTTAGTAGGAGATAAAGAGGATACATTTATAAGAATTACATTTGAATAGGTCAAAAATTGATAAAGAGCAAAATGGACACATAGTTGAAGAATTCAGATATTGTAGATAACAACATAAATCTTTTTGTGTTCCTTCAAGAATAAAATTTCTGTCTTTTCAAAAAACGTCGAAAATATTAAGACAACTTACGCATCAAGACCCCAATTCAAATGTGTAAGTATCAGTCGAGCCAGATGATTTTCGGACGAAGTTAAGGGATGCTGATGTAACCAGGTAGAGAGAATTGCCATATCCTGCTGCTGCGGCATCCACATTCCTATTTTCAGTTCCGTGAACAGATACAAACTCAGCTAAAATCATTAAAAAACGATTATTATTATTACCTGCAAATTTATTTTAAAAATAAATTAGCTATTTTTATTATTACACAAGTAGTATATTATTTTCTTATAATATTATTATAACTCGTTTAAGAAATTTTATAATGAATGTTAATAAGAGAGAACTTTGTCTCCTTCTCTCTCTTGTTAAAGATTTTATATAATATACAAATTTACACACTTTTATGTGATTTTATACCTATATAAAAGTTATTATTTTATACCTTCCCGACTGATACAAAATTGTCCTTTAATTTTTGCAAAATGTCAGATAGAAGAGTAGGATATTTGCTTGTCAAATTTGATAAAAGTGACCTCGCATCCTTTGAACAAGACTCTTGAGTTTTCTCGCTGAGAAATCCAATCTGTAATTCAATTTATTAAAAATTCGACAATTAAAAAGATTAAATATCTAAATATACAGTAAATTTCAAAGATATTTGTAAATGTAAAAAGTATTAGAAATTTTCTTATTTATAGATAGATTGTCTCGTCATTATCGCATTAATGATAGAAACAGATTATATATTTAACAAATTCATTGAATGTATTCGCATACTTGAAACAGATCGATTGTGGCTGTTCTCACAAAATCATAGTCCTTGTGGGCTCTTGCCATAGCCATATTAGCAAAGGTTGTTAGCAGAAAATAAGACTCGTCACCTGGCATGTTGCCCAACTTTTCTTCAAACTGCTTATGAAGTTCAGGACAATCTAACTCTGTCTCCCAGTCTGCAATATCATGTCATTGTTATTGACATTGTAGCATACTTTTATAGGGTTCAAAGTTTGTACGCAAGTATCGAAAAAAAGGCAAAGAAATAGAGAAAAAATGCTAATCACTACAAAAATAAAATAGCAAAAGAAAGAGTAAAAGAGAGACAGCATGTGACTAAAGATAACTTATTATCTTATACCTTGTAATTTCTATTATTGTTATTAACATTATTTTATCGTACTCTTCATCTACCTGAGATTGACATATTTGACATTGTTACGTCGCCAAGCGTAGAATCAGTATGCAGAATATAGAAGATGTGCCACAAGGTAGTCGATGATATAATGTGATATGGTATTGCTGCAAGATATTGCCAGGCACCTAAACGCCGTGATGAAAATATACAGAGGATAGCTCTCAGGAAAAAGCAATCATATTCAATCTGCAGTTTCAACAGCATCGATTCATCAGTTATCTATATAACAGTTAATATAGCTTTTAAAATCCACAAAAAAATACAAGAATTAGAAAATCATAACAGAGAAAGTAATGTCCATATAAATTTTCACAAAAAAAACCGAATAAAAATTGACAAAAAATAAAGCATACGCCTTTAATTAATTCAGTATAATTCTACAGAATTCTGCGAATTCGTGAAATTTGGTCGCGTTCTATATACCTGACTTCTGTCAAAAGCCTCCCACTGATCGCTAGCGTATTGAACGACGTCTCTGATCAACGCGCTGAGTCTTTTCGCTAACTGTCTATATCGTGGCGAATCATAGGTCTTTAGACCCTGCTTCAGTAGTCTGACGAGCACAGTGTAGAACGCGAAGAGGCGCAACATGTGATGATCCGTGATGGCGTTCTCCTCCTGCTCATACTTGTCGTTCTGACATCGAACAAACAGCACCTGCTCGAAGAGCCTGTCCAATGGAATCTGATTGAGAAGAGAAATCAGATCGCTCTCGAAGAGATTGGCGCCGACATTGGCGATGTCTTCGTCCTCTTCGCCCTCCTCATCCAGCATCACCCATACTGTATCCCCTGGACTGCTTGTGGTATCTTGCAAGGATACCTGCACCTGTTCCAAAAACTTATCCCGATCCTTGATTGGTAGAAGGATTACCGCGAGAGTGGCGATCATATGATCAAGATATGAATCATTAAAAGGCGAGGAACTCAATCCAGAGAGTTTCTGCGGCACTGGCACTTGCACAAACGACTTGGCCCAGTTCATCACGCCACCGGGACATCGCAGTATATGATTCAGTAGGAACAGGTGATCCTGCCATGTGGCAACTCTCAAAAGCACCGCCACCAACCTCGACAGCCATTCTCTGGTGTCTGTGACAAACTTGCCATCTTTGAGAACGCGACGCTGGAAGTTGAATAGAACCGTCACGCACATCCTGAGCTCCACTAGCTGCGGGGCTGTCTGAGACGGTGATTGCTCCGGCAGAAGGTTTGCTGGAGCGGTTTGCGAAAGATTAGCAAATTCCTGAAAACAGGAAAAAAAATTTGAATTGTTGAATTTTAAGAGAGATTAAAATTATACGATTATTGGATTTCTGCATGGAATCTAGTAGCATGCTACTTAGCTCAACTTTATTTAAATTAACCCAGTTTAATTAAGTTTAACTCAATCTTAGCTTTTCATAACTTTGAATCTTACAATATCCTTGATATTTTAAAAAATTTACTCAGCAAAAGGCAACTCACATTAAAACTTCTAGCAACTCTTTGCACGTAATGTTCAATTTGCAGACGCAAGGACTCTGCTTCATAGCAGTATAATGCTTGGCTATCATGCAAAGTATCCTTGATGGCTGACAAGGTCCTGGAGAGCACTACTACAGCCTGCTGATTGAAATGGGCAACCGAATACTCGTGGACGGCACTGACAGGATTGCCGTCCTGGCACTCGCCACTCTCCGTTTCTGACGTTTTTTCCAAGCACCAGAGTTGTTTCTGCGTTTCCCGACAGTTCTTCTTTAAATGTTCCAGCTCGTACGAATTTACAATCAGGTGGTTCCGCACTCTCAGGTAACTCATCAATAGCTCGTGCAGCCTGTGCTGCTGTCTCAATGGCCCGCATCTCAACTGTGTCTCTGTAAACTCAGTCACAAACGCGTCCACTAACGCCAGTTCCTGATTGTAATACAAGGACGTCAATTGTTGCTCTGTAAACGGTTTAACATCCTTGAATGCATTCAGAATATCCTTTTTGCCTTCTCCAATCTCTGTTTGCTTCGATAAAATCTTTGCTTTAATTAGATCTTTGGTGTCTCGCGTCGATTGATTGAATTCTTCAGGATTAATTGGTGATATATCTACCAATTGAATAGTGGAAAGGCTTACTTGGGTTTGATCTATTTGATCATCCAAGATGTCGTTGGACGCAGAGTCAAGTTGAATAGCGTCAATTTCATCTTGGGAATTCTCAGCTAACAACAATATCTAAAATATATAATCTATTTATTTCAAAATGCTATTAATTCAGGACTCGATCATGTATGATCAAGCTCCTGATATCATTGAGATATAATTTTGTAAAATTACTTACCTCGCCTGTTGTTTCAACTTGTAGAGTGCGCTCCTTCTCGTAAGCTGCTTTTTCAGCAGCCTGCTTTTCATAAATTTCTGTGTCGATAGCAGCTGAATGTAATTCGCTTTCTATATCTTCTACCGCTTCACCTTTGGGATAATTCGTGGGAGATTCTCCGAGCAGGCACTCGAACTCCTCCAACGTGGGTGCATCTGGTATTTGGTGCTGAAGCATTGACTGGCGCAATCTGTCCCGTTTCTTCCTCTGGGAACGAAGCACAAATTTTAATTTATATTACATCTGTGATATCGCTACCAATTCATTCGTTATTAATCTATCATCTAGTCAAATTATAGAAATATATATATATATTAATAAGATATGTAAATAATATATAATGTGTAATAATATATAACAATAGTAATTATATATACAATTATATGCTCTGTTAATGTCGCTACAAATACCAGAAAAGCGATGCAGGAGATTGCAGATTAGCAATCTGTCTCACCTGTTTTTGCTTCTCCATGATGCATCGGTATCGCTATTATATTTTAACTAATTGGTATTGATCAATATAAATCACTGGATATCCTCTGACAATCTTAGGTTGCTGTATCTCTAAGGAAACTATTTGTAGTAGATCGAGGATTGATAAAGGCGATCCAACGCAACGAAAGTTATGATGTTTTGAATACCAAAAATAATGTTATAGATGCATTCATCATTATTTTCAGCACTGTCATTAGTGCAATCAATTGCTGATAAGGAATCAAAACTTATGAACGCTTATGAGAACTGTTTACGTCCAGTTGGCCTCCACAGCTGATATAAATCTCTACTAAACAATGGAATTAGTCCACTTGGCGTTTCGAAGTGATTTCAATATATGTCAATCGATCCACTAGAAATCCATCCAACCACCACCAACTGCCACGAACTGCGTTCGACTTGGCACTACGAGTGCTTGGAAGAGTTTGATTGACCAATCGGGATAGAGGAATCTTTTCCCTGATTGATCAAGAAATCTCTCCGAATGGGATTTTTGTGCGCATGCGTGAGTACGTTAATCTACGTCTGCTAGTACTTGCGCTGTTACGCATGCGCGAGATTTGTCTCACCAGTTTGCAACACTGCTGGGAGCAGTAGGCCAATTCTCTTTGTAAACTTCGTAACGATGATATCGTTATCGTTACGTGTCGCTGCGCAGCTAAAACGTATCGGAAAATAGCTACGCAACGACAGCGAATTTGTTGTTAAAAGTTATAAAATAAGTATACAGTAATGTCAGACTTCACGCACGCGTAATAGTGTAAGAATCAGCTGATGCTGTCCGCCTATTAGAATCTGTCCGTTACATTCAAAAATTAACTCATCAGGTAGTAACATTTGATTTGATCAATCGAGACAAAAAAAGCAAAGACTTTTTTGCTCTATATACGATCTATATTGAACTATTATTATTTATTTGTTTTAACTTGTACATGCATTTTTATGAATTATTTTGTATGCGATTTCGGCGGAATAAAAATACATATATCTTTATTATTACACAGTAATTCTTATAAATTTTGCTATTGCAGTCTTGCCTGTAGCGAAAATTTGATGAGATAATGATATCTGTGGATGTTTATTAATTATATATACTAATTGAAAGATTGAATGGAATCTGGTTAGCGTTGTATTTTCTTCTTTCGAAATCTTTTGCAATTTTTTATTTCTTTCCAAGATGCTCGAGATGTCGAACTAAAATATCGATATCGGCAATAATTAATTATTAATATATATGACATGTAGAATATGTTTCACATATACTAACAAGAAAACATAATATACAAATCTTGTGAGATATAAAATTTCATATAAAAAACATAAATTCTCTCTAATAACCTATAATAATATATGTATATAGTAATATACAGATATAGCTGTAAAACTTATATGATTTCTCACTGCAATAATATCGGAGTCACAAGCGAAAGTGAAAAAAATGTATATCATCTTTTTATACTATATATCGAAATAAATTATAGTTTTTTAGCATGTCATGTTATAATCTCTTCTATTTAATAGAATATATTTATGATGTCGATGATATGTCTCTTTTATATCCGTGGTGTATATATAATGACATGATGTAAAAAAATTTATTTATTTTAATGTATATACGCGAGAAAAAAAATTCTTATAATTTCTCATTTCTGACATCATAATTCAATATAATTGCAATGAGGAAACAGACGCCTTAACGCAAAAAATAAATTAAAAAATAAAAAGGCAATATATGTGCATACGTGTGTGTGTGGTTATATATCGTGTGAATTAACAGTTTTATTTTTTATTTTTTTTTTCTTCTCTTTATGATTTAGATCTAAAATCTAAATTAAAATATGTGCTTTATTGTAAAATTGTCTAATTGTGCACTCTTTTTTTCTTTCTATTTTGTCTTTCTTTTAATACATAATTGCATGCTATTTGCGCGTAATACGAGTATCACAAATTAAACAACTCTATCGCATAAAAGCGATACGGCGATATTAAATATACTTACTTCATCTTTGTACGATTATAATCTTCCTTGACGTAAATTACGAGTATGGTTGCCATTGAGATGTTTGCAAATGTCCAATACGTCGACAAGTGTTTATCTAACAATAAGAAGCAAAGAAAGTAAAAAAATTAATAAATTATATATTAAAGATTTTTATCATTATTAAGGGAGCAGAAATTAAAATTCCTGAAAATAAAAATAAAAGTTTTAAATAATAATAGAAATAATAAGAGATATGTAAAAAGTAAGAGAAAGCGCAACATGGTAACCGGGATCGAGTAGCATGACGCCGCGACGTCCGCTAATCTCGATTTTCAGGCACACTAATACATGCTCCTTTTCGCCGCTATCTGCCGCTGGTGGACCACCGACATAACCGGCGATATCTCCAATCGTCTGTAACACATTGATTTTTCTCATAAATAAAAAAAAAATTAAAAAAAAAAAAAAAAAAAAAAAGAAAAAGGAAAAAAAAAAAAATAAAAAAAAAAAAAAAAAAAAAAACTGGAAATAGTTTATGCTTGAAGAAAATTCAAAATGCAATAAAAAAAATGTGAGCAGGGAAAAGGAAAAGAAGGAAGAAGAGATAATAATATTTCTAAATCTATGTAATATACTATCGCGATAATTTTCTATAACTATGCATTTTCTGTATTTTAGAATGATACTTTTTAATTATCAATATCTGCTTATGTAATATAAAAGCACAAGATAAAGAGTGATCGCATACACATATAATATCAAAAACATTATATAGTTGTGGATATATTAAAATATAATATAATATTTTAATTTATAGAGTATCGGAATATATCGTAACAGTTATTCTTACTCATCCACGGGAGAAAGTATGAGAAATAGAAGAGCGCGCCGACGAGATTCGACAGAAAGATCATATAACCGCCGACGATGGCTTCGGAGACCGGAAACGCTATTTCGGAGGCGAGTTCAAGAAAAAGGGCGGGGGTGGACCAGCTGGCGGATATTCCCAGGATCACTGCGGCGTACAGCTCACCCTTGTGGAAAACTAGGATACGATCGTCCAGCAAGAGTATCCATAGAAACATTGCTGACGATATCGTCAAGAGTATGTGAAGAGTAATCTTTAGACGACCTTGAAATGCGTCTGCCAATCGCGATGCTATTAAGCTCAAAGCGCCACTGACGATGATGGTCCAGAAAGCTAATTTGTCCGCTTCCCCCTGAATTTTGACTTATTAAAAAAATTATCTGTAGCGCCATGGCGAGAGACAAAAAGTCTAAAGTTTTCGAGATAGATTAAATAAATACAGAAATCCCAAGAACTTAAGGCTCTTAGCCTCTTTGAATGTAAATTTTTAACAGTTTGATAGATTAAAATTTTTAAACTGTATTCTTACTTGTGTAATGCTGGCGCCAAAGGTCATTGTCATCATTGCAAGCCAAGGTCCAGTCACACCTTGGCTAAGCGCAGCAGCTAAGCAGAGACACCACATGTTCTTGTTCCTGTAAACAGAAATAACCAGATTGTATAGAGTTAAGTTTCTATAATAAATTAATTATTATTGTGCGTAATATATTAACATATGTATAAATAAGCAAACAATAAGAAAAAGTTTATATGCATATGTTTACTTTTCGACCGTTTAATCGATATTTAGTTATTTTTAGATCGGGAAGTTTAGTATACGAATCACAATGTTCAAAAGAAAACAAGAAAAGGAATCTGAGAAAAAAAAAGAAAAAGGATCAACATCCATCCCTTGTGGGGATCGAACCCACGACCTTTGGATTAGAAGTCCAACGCGCTATCCTCTGCGCCAAAGGGACTTGGTACTCTTTCGTGAAATAGAAAGTGATGTAGCATCACTAATTTATCACAAAAAAAGGGATAAATTATAATACATTTTTACAAAATTTCATATTTGAAATCTTTGAAGGATTATAATAAATTACTTTAGAAGACGAAGAACTGATTCCGCAAGACCAAGACGCTCAGAAATTTCGGAGAGATCAACAGATTGACAAAGTTCTTCCGGTAAGAAGCAAAGAATGCCTATCAGGATTAAGAATTGACCGACAAATTCTGAAATCATTATGCAAAACAGCGGAAAAAGTTAACAAATTATTCCAACAATTTTATTTGATTTTATTTCAAGTCTTAGCGACATTAAAACAATCAAATCTGTCGTCAAATTTTGTAGCAGGCTTTGCCAGCAGAATATAAACTTATTGTTAGATGTATAATGCAAACACGCAGTTGATGCCAGTTTGCCGCGATTTCTATGTTCGAATCTGCTGCCAAACTGTCAGTATATTGCAAACACTGCTTACTGAAATATAAATTTTATATAAACAGAAAATTACTTTGTTTATATACAGCTTCTTTAAAAAACATACCGATCCTCATGAGAGACATAATCTGTGCTCGCAATACCACGTAGTACATTCTATCAAAAGCGACAGTTGCGTTGAACGTTGTATTATTTATTAAAGGCGTAGTATTATGCGCGACTGTGTTCTCTACTACGGCCGGCCCGATTAAATAAGAAATCGCCATTCCCAATTGATTGCAGGCGGAAGATATGCCTACAATATCGATTAACTTGCTCAGATTAATGTAATAATAATAGCACAATTCAACAAAAAAAATTTAAGAAAAAGAATGATTATTCCGTGCAGCTTTTCCAGTTACGGAAATGTATTCTTTATCATGAATATAAAAAATATAATTTTTGTTGAATTATATTATATACATAATTATTTTTTAAATTATATTTTTTTTTGTTGATTACATATAGATAAATTGGAGAAATACCGGTAGCGGTGGTGCGTTTCCCAGGAGGGAACCAAATCGCGGAGACCAGTGCCGTGGCAGGACCAAGGATCACTCCTGACAATCCGTTCAGGATGGCTGCGGTGTGTACCATTCTGAGTGACAAAAGTAGGATTCTCTTTAGTCCTGATCGGCGATCAGCCACACGGAATTAACGTACATCGTGAAGACATTCTCTCTAGAGGACACGCAACGAACGAAGGTCGCCAGGGTCGAAAGAATCGCCGCCATTCGCAGGGACATTGTCAAGCCTTATGTTAATTTTAATACACGATACACATTAATGGTGCGTTTTTCAAATTTATTTGTGATATTTAGAACTGTGTGTATCATCTTGTTTACATAATCAATTGTACGATTAAATTATCTCGCGTAAAGAACAAAAAAAGAGATCAACAAATCTTATAAAGTGAGACAAATCGGATACCTTTTCGGGAAAAACACTTTTTTTTGTAAAAATCGCTTTACTTAAAAAAATAACTGGTTCTGTTTGTCCTTTCTCTGTCTCTCTGTCTCTCTCTCTCTCTCTCTCTCTCTCTTTCCGCGAGGTTACTTTACGTTATATTACTATGCAATGCTATGTATATTACTCGACGCGAAACGTTATACATCGGAATAAAGAATGAAGTAGAATAAATGAAATTATAATCACGATAAATATGGAGAAATTTGGAGAGATAAGATTACCTTTCTTATAGAGGAGCCAGCAGCAGGGTATGCAGCAGGTTAAATAACTGATGCATCCCCAATCGGACAGCAGGGCCACCAGGGACTCGTTCCAGCTCGGGAAAGCCCGCAAGGCGAAACCCGCTATCGGGCCCCAGGTGTTCCACACGCAACACTGCGAACACGATAGAGTGCAAAACAAGCCCAGGGCCACCCGACCCTCCTTCCGGGGCCCGATTTCGCGCCCCGACTCCGTCAAGGCCAAAGTCTCACTCTGACTTCCTATACTCACGTATTAAAACTCCGGCGATAATCTCGGTTCAAATAAAAACGTACGATACGAAGACTTACGACAAGATATGTAATTTCGTCGTAGCTCCAAGCTTCCCGTGCTTCGCCCAAGTCTTCGGGGACATATCTTGCTTCTGGATATTCTTTTGCCGTTCCTTAAAAGCTTGCTAGGTGAGCTACGACATTGATATAACCGTGTCATGTTTACACACCATGAAGGTTATTATATTAATGTCAAAAAGAAATTGCGATTATGCCACCATATTTAAAACTTTTCTTATCGAATATATATGGTGATTCATCTGCATTTTTTGTCATCGAGTTTCTTTGTGTGGCAGAAATTGAAAGAATTTGTCATACATGTAGATTTGAAATTTGCCTGGATTTTTTAGAAATATTGTAGTTTAGAAGATTATGTTATATATTTTTCTATGGAATTTATATTGTAAGAGATTGTAAGATTCGAAGAGGAATTGGATTAATATTCAAAAAAACCTCGAACATATACCCTTAGGGGATTGTGCTAATTAAGCAAAACATAGAACCAGTTGAAAATATCAGAATTTCGATAAATATCCCAAAAGAAACTCGATCTGTATCCTTGGGCTTTTGTTAATTATCCATGTCCACGTTCAAATAATTGTTTCAATTAAATAAATTCTTTTGTACTCTATACAAATAGCTATTTGAAAGTGGAACATAAACAAAGAAATATTATATCTATAATTCTTAGAATTACGAGATTTGGCATCGATCGAGCTTCAAACGGTAGCTTTGCTATTTTGCTGCTCCGTTTGGAAAAAATGAAAAAAGATAAAATAACGATAACAATAATAACAATAATAATAAATTCGTTTTCCAGAGAACGCGTCGATAAGCGGCCGCGCACCCGCGGCCTCCCCGACGCCGCTCGTCCTCGCGTATTGACCGCGGGGATAACGATAATTGTATTGTCGCGTCGCGTTGCGTCGTGCCCGACGACGACGGCGACAACGGCTACGCGACGACGGGCGCGCGCAAAATCAGCGTGAGCGTAATAATCGTAAATGCCGACAATAATAGACGGCGCACAAAGGGAATTAGACACCCCCATATACCCGAGCGCGGGCGCGGGCGCGGGCACGCTCGCGGTGACGCGCGCGCATGTGCTTCCTGCACTCTCCCTCGGCACTCTCGCCGGGTTGGCTCCTCTAATTACATCGATCCCCGCCCGTCGCCCGATTGGTCCAGCATCCAGAATCCGCCTCCACCGCGCAAATAAATCTCACACGAAACAATCCAGATCATCCGCCAGGGAACCGTGGCGATGGGAAAGGGGCGGGAAGAAGACGGAAAGGACATATACGTGATCGAGGATGATGGGACGACTGGACGAGGTCCATGATGATGCCGGATGCTGCGGACGAAGAATGTTGCTGATGAAGTTTTCAGCTGCTGTGCCGTTCAATAGTAGGGCTTGCGAGAGCGTGTTATTGTCAATTATCTTTATTGTTATTTGATTTCGCTGTAGATCTTGCTCGATGCCAATGCTCATTAATCAGACATTTTTTTTTTAACTATAATAATAATATACAGCATATTTTGTTTTTACAGCATTTTCTGCTTTTTAACTCGGTAATAGTATATACAGTGTATATATCTTGTGTTTTTACCACGTTATATATATAAATTTTAATGACAGATTTATTTTCTCTTTTTCATTTTCTAATCTGAATTATATTTTTCTCGGCATGAATATCATAAAACGTCATTGTTTATTCAATTTTTTAACATCATATAAAAGTCATTAAACTTGAAAGATTAAAATTCTATTTTAAAGTAATTTTCATTTAAAATTAGCTGAAGAATATAATTTTGTGATCCATTTATAATTCGCTAAAGTTTCGTTTGCAACAAACTCTCTTTTTTTAATCACTTATAATTCGAAAATTATTAATACCTTACATTTTCAGGAATTTGATTTTAAATTAATTAAATAATCTGTCATTAAAAAATGGTGCTATAAAAAATGAAATGTTGTACATATCACAAAATTTATATTCTGCAATTCGCAAATTCTATTTTTTGAGATATAGCAGCTAGCAATAAGTATAGGGAAAATAAGTGCAATCAAAATTTTAATCTCTTTTTTTTTTATCATGATCAATTTTTTTTAGGTTTCCTGCAATTTGATACGGTTTAGTCCTAACTACTTGTTAAAAAAAAGACAACCAGAGATAGATTGTACACCATGAGAGAAGGATAATATCGTCTTCAATTAAAGATTAAAACCGAAGGAGGGGAATACTCGAATACCAATAAGTAACGATAATCAGGACGCATCGCGGGATGCGTTGTTTCGCCGCATTGAGAAAATGGAAAACAGAATGAATCCGCAAATAATCTCGCTGTTCACGCTAAACCGCGCGCGTTCACTTCTTTCATTCTTGCTCGCGAAAGAGCCCCTCTTTCATTTCTTCGCGAAGCACAATGCATGATTGGTTATCAATCGCGGTTATCAAAATAGAGTAATTTGCGAAACCCTCTCCCTCGTCTTCTTTTTTATATATTATTTTTTTATTATATTGGAAATTGTGTAACATGTCTTTCTCTCTTGTCTTTTATGTATCTATAGTATTTATAAAATTAATATACATAATTTTTATTTTATATTGTATACATTATTTT